AATTTTATGATTATGATTTTTTTCCACTATTATAAAAATTATAAATGATTTTTATATAAATTTTTTGACACAAAATTTTTGTAAGTTTATTTTAAATTATGTATATTTTAAATTTTAATTATTATATGCATTTTAAATTACACGTAATTTTTTACTTCATGTTTTTTAAGTTTTCAATAATTAAATTTCAGAATTATGTGCAATTTTTTTTCAATACTATTTTACTACACATTCCTTTTTATAATTCATCTTATTTTATTCAAATTTTGTATATGCAAATTTTTTACTACATTTTTTGAAAATATTATTATTATTATTTTATCTTTTACTGTTTTAAATTGAATTTTACAATTATTCACAAATTTCTCTGCTATTTTTTAAACACATTTTTATTAGTGTATTTGATCAAAAAACAAGTCAAATTACAAAAAAATGTTTCTATCTAGAATGAAATATTTGATTTTGAATTTTTAAGGATTCAGAAGCAAAAAAGGTAAAAGTTGACTATTATTCAATAGGATTTCGCGCATTGTTGCTCACGTTTTAGGTTTATAATAATTTGAAATTTTTGATTGATAATTAAAAAGACAATAATAAGCGCTATATTTATCTATTTTTTAAGAAAAGAATTGGCAAGCTTACTTCTTATCAATTATTGGAAATTGATTACTGAAGTAATTATTTACTTTTTGAGTAATAATAAATTCTATAATGCTCAAAGAAACAATTCTCATAGTTAGTGTTGTATGCAATCTGCAGAGGATTACTGCTAGAAGTAAGTAATTTACATTTGAAATTTTTTAAATAATTTAAAAATTTTTGAAATAATTTTAAAATATTTGTTACGAAAATATTTGAAATGCTAAATGTGTTTCTCAGATTTGTTTTTTCAAAAATATTAGTTTCATCAACAATTTTTAGCAGTAATTACAAATATTTGAAAGCAATTGGCTCAAAAAAATTTGTTTTCATTTTTTTAAACATTTTTTACCTTTTTTCTTACTCATATTTTTCTAAATTTTTCATATTTTTCAATGATACTCAATTATAATAGATAAGATACAGTTTGAATATAAACTGTTATAAGACAAAAGTCACCTTAATTATAGAATTTACTACAAACATTTCTCTGAAAAAAATAATCATACAAAAATTCAAAAATTTTAATAATCATTCAAAAATTCAAAAATTTTAATTTTACTAAAATTTTAACATTTTTTTGAAAAAAAAAACAAAAAAGCATTCAAAAAAAACTATTAAAGTCACTAAGTAATTATTTAAAATTACAAGCATTTTCTAAAATTACAATTCAAGTTCATTAAATTATTTTTATTTGCCACTTTAACATCCACTAGTAATATTTAATAATTTTAGCGGTAATAAATTCAGAAAATAAATAAATAATTTTGATAATGCAGTGAATTTTTTATTATTAAATATTAGAATATAATCAAATTTTTATACTGAAAACAGTTCTGAGAGAAAATTCAAATTAAATATGTGATACGCATAAATCTATGATCCAATCTAAAAATTTTGATTTTTCGAAAATTTCAAACTTTTTGACCTATTTTTTTGACACTTTTTGTGCTCACCTTTTGAGAATTTTACACACTTTTTGATCATTTTTAATTTTTTTAAATCTATTCAAATATAATCTCATCACACACATATACTTGCAATTATTCTTATTTTATACTATACACAAATGCAATACAAAGTTAATTAATTAGTAAATATTTGCTATATTTTCTGTATTTATTTTCTATATTTTGCATATTTTCTGATCAGAAAAAACTCAATACTTTATATTTGTGATTGCATTTATAAATCGACATCCAGTTTTCATCGACTTTATAATTTGTTTAAAATTTTTATTGGAGCAAAAATAAGCGATATATTCTTTTTTTTATTTTTAAAATGAGTAAAATATTTTAAATTGCAGTAGAATTTGATAAAATTTGTAGATTTGGAGAATTGTCATGAATATTATGATTTAATAAAAAGGCCCAAACTATAATTATGTTTTAAGAAAAAATTTAAAAAAAAATTAAAAAATTAAATTTAAAAATTTTTTATTTTAGCAAAAGTAAGCAATATTTTTTGATTTTAAAAAAAGCAAAAATTTTTAATTCTGTTTTCAATTAAGATAATAATTTGAATTTTGTAAATTCTAAAATTGCTTATGCTATTCAAATTTTAGCAATAATTTTAATTTTATAAACAAATATATTAATTAATTTTTTGATTGATTCCTTCAAAACAATTATGATATTTTTAAAAATAAACAAATTTTTCATTTTTGACGCTTCAGTAAATTTAACAAAATTATCACAAACTAATTTTATTGGCAAGAATTGTACTCATTTCATAGAACTTCTTGATATCGTTTCTAGCAGCAATTCATTTATTGTTAATTATTCTAATCAACTTCTACTTGATGTTTTGGGATGAAAATAACTCGTAAATTTTCCTATTTTTTAATATTTTCTACTAAGAAAATTAATAATTATTATTATTAGGAATAAAAATTACTATAAAATTTATAAAATTTATGATTTACAAATATAAAAATTGATGGATGTTTGGTGGTTTCTTGATAAAGTAATATATATATATTCATAGTATTAATAAAATCCGAATTATATAATTTATAGTTTACTATGGTTTTTACTATTACTGTTTTAATGATAGAAGGGTCATATTTATGACACTTCGGACTAATTTAGCAGTGAAGTAACTTTGTATTTATTTAGATAAAATTATTGTTATAATTTAAAATAGATAATCTCGTAATTTCAGTATAGTCCAGCAAAACAGTGCATAAATTAGCAAAATGGTTTTCGACTTGCTATTTTATATATTGATGTCATTTATTTTTGTATAATATTATAATATTTTCAAAATTATCAATAATTATTACTTTATGTTTGAGCCTTAAAAGTAATTTAATAATACAATCTTAATATTAAAATTTAACTATGTTAATGATTTTCATTTTCGTTGAGCAAAAATTATTTTCAAACAAAATTTTGGTTTATTTCATACTTATGATTAGCTTCAAAAGGTAAATATTAACTTTGCAGCGATTGATTTATCAGCTAATTGTGATCAAGAATCAGATCATATCAAACTTGGTCGATGTCTCCGACCATGGTTAGATTTATGGGAAATGATTCGAGTCCAAGAATCGCATGCATCAAATTTTTTATTCCCGGTAAGTGATCTTTATTTTTCTGATCTTTTATTTTGGACCAAATATGAGTGAAAAAATTTGAATTCTGAAATTTAATTTAATTAATATCTTTCAGAGATTATTATTTAATGTTACTTTAGCTTTTTATCAGTCATTCAGCAAAGTTAATTTTAGTGCTATAAACATTGACAAGAAATTTAATCTAAATTGAAAATAATCATTTTTTTTTGTATAATAATATGAAATTAAGGTTTCAATTAAAATATTAAATTAAAAATTGCAATTTAACAAAAAATATCTTTATACAATAATAATGAATTATTCTTATAGTGATAAGTTTTCTTAACTCATTGATTAACTGATAATTGATAAATATTGAATAATAACTGTTAATTCAGATAATAATCGTTTGTTTAGATTATCTATTCATTCAATTATGCCTTTGTTAATTAATATATATTTTGTAAATATATTTCTTGCTTATATTTTTTAGTATTATTCATGCAAAAAATAAAATTTAATTTCAGATTCCATTTTATTCGCGGGAATCTGTGCTATATCTTTGTAGTGCTTACCTCGATAGTCGTTCAACCTGTATGACCCCTAAAGTTTTAAACAGATGCAAACAAAATGAAATGATTGCATTTATCCAAAGCCATATGCAATATTATTGTGGAAATAAAGCAAAAATTGCTTTTACAAAATTTGAATGCCTTCGAGAGTATATTTTTTTACACTTTTTGAATTTTTTATTCACAAATTTTTAAATTTTTTTTACACTTTTTGAATTTTTTAATCAGAAGTGTATCTAGTCTATTCTATTCTTATTATGCCAAAAAATATTATTCAAAATTAGCCCAACTGTAATGTCTAATAATTTTAGCTTAACTTGTTTAAAAATATAGTGGAACAATTTTTACAAAATTTTTTTGTATATGAACTGAAATAATTTCAAAATTGCTTATCAGTAAATATTCACAACAATTATTATAGAATTACTCATTAATAATTACTATACTTGTGAACCATTTTTGTGAGTACTAATTTTTTTAAAGTTATTTGTTAACAAATATCAGTAAATTAGTTTTATAAGAGTACAATTAGCTTCATAAATCACAACCAAGTTGTAGTTAACAAGTTAAAATAGTTATCACGATTGGTAATGATGAACTAAGAATAAAACTAAATAACAATTTGATACATAAATAATTATGAAGCAAGTTAAGATTAATCAATGTAATTAAAATTAATAGATTGTGAATGAACTTGATCATGAATTTAAATACAAATAAACCGATTAACATAATGGAAAATTAATAAATTTAAAAATGCCAAAATTAATTTAAACTGATTGACATAACGGAAATTAATAAAGTAAAATTAAAGCCAAAATTGTAGTTTTAAATGAATTTTTAAAATTTTGCATTACTAAGTAACTAAGTATTTACGAGTTATCAGAATAATTGAAATTAATCATAAATTGAAATTCAAATATTTACTGAATTTTAGTGCTTTGATATCAGCTTCAAAATGTTGGCCACATCTTGAAGGTGTGCCATTACCAAGTTATCAAGCAGGTAAATGTGAGGTCATGTCAAAGTTCTTCAACTGTGTTCTACCAACCGTAGAAGAAAAATGTAAGAGTTCTGCTGTATATACCCTCGTTGATGCTATTAGTTCATTTGGATGCATAATTAGAAATGGTTAGTCTTTTTTGGCACACATAAATTTTTTCTAAATTTTGCTTGTTGGTATATTAATTTATTATCATTTAACAATAATAATTAGCAATTGTCTTATAAAACAATCATTTTGCATAGTTTTAATAATTAGAACACTAATAAATAAACTAGACTACACTGAAAATAAATAAGTCTAGACTAAAAAATTAGGCATTTGAATCTTAAGTAAACAAAATATTAGATCCTATTTAGATGTTGAGTTGAGAATTTAATATATTACGATAATATATCAGTACTCAAAATCTAAACAAGGCAAACTAATCAACTCTCAGTTGTATCAAACTCTAATGATATTTTGATTCTGCGTTGAGAATTCGGTAACAAACAATTCTTAACTTCATAATAACTAATTATTAGTTTATTAATTATCAACTTATAATATTACAGCTTAGAAAACATAATATTTATTTAATAATATATAGACAAAAACTTATTTAATTGTTATGCTAATTCACAGTATGTTGTTGGTATTCAGAATTGGTGAAGCAGTCAGCAAAATATGTGGAGAAAGTAAACAGTACTGGACAATTAACTGATAAGTTTGGGCAAAGTATGATTTTATTCATTTGCTTAAGTTAGAATTAATAAGTTAGCTGAAAATTTTCAAATGAAATTTGCATAAAACTAAATACAAATTTGCTTTTTTGAATAAGATTAAAATTTTACAGATGCAGTGATATAAAACTGAATTATTCAACTTAATATTTTATTACTTGTTAATTTTTGATTTTACCAGTATATTGATATAGAATTTTGTATTAATTGTAATGGTATGAAAATTTTAAATTTAAAAATTTAAAAAAAAAGCAAAGTAAAAGTAGGATAATTGCAAATGTATTCTTTCTTTGACCTAGATTTGAGGTTGAAAATTAATTGTAATGAAAATTATCAAAAAATGAATAGGCAAAAAATTTTTAGAAAATATGTATCAATCTTTTTTTTCAATTTTTAGGCATTTTTTATACAAAATTTGCATAACTTATGGATATTTTCACTAATTACATCTTTCATATTTGTGTAATAATTAGACGTTTCGATCATAATTGGCCATTATTCTATGTTTATTCTTATATTTATTATAGCTAGAAAAAGGACTATTTTTGTAATATGCAAATACAAAAGTTTATAAAACAAAAGATATACAATAAAATTACATGCAAATTTAATCAACAGTTTTGTTTTTCTAATTTTTTTATAAAATTACAAATAAGAAAAAATAATAATAATCAAATAAAAAATATTGTTAACGCCTGTAATACGCAAGTATTTGAGAAATTTTACATGTGAATAAATTTTTTTACTTTTCAAAAATTCAAAAATTTTTAAAAATTTTGTTGATTTTTTTTAAAAATTGTTGTATTACTTCGTAAACTTATAGAAAATTGGTGAACTTTTTTAGTGTTCTCAATTTTTAGAATATATTCGAGATGAATTATCAGCGGTGCTACCAGCACTTGATGAAGAAAAACACGGTCAGTAATATCACAACGAATAATCTTTTTTTTTTTTGAAATTTTTAAAAAATTTTCTGAATAAAAAAGTTTTACTGATAAAATTTTTTCACGTACTCTATCAAGTATTCAAATATTTTGTCAATTTTTTGATTTAATATAACTCGAAGTCAATAAATATGGTAATTTATTGAGATATGACTAAGAATAATTATTACTACAGATAATGAATATAACAATTACTTTCTGAATCATATATTGGAAAGTGATATTTATGTTTATATAAATAATAATTATCTACATCAAAAATGCTATAACAACACTATTTATTATCAGGATAATATGTAAATTTTTTTAAATGCTACCATTTATTATCAGGATAATATGTAAATTTTTTAAAATGCTACCATTTATTATCAGGATAATATGTAAATTTTTTAAAATGCTACCATTTATTATTAGGATAATATGTAAATTTTTTAAAATGCTACCATTTATTATCAGGATAATATGTAAATTCTTTAAAATATTAGTATTTATTATCAGTATAATATCTAAATTTTCAAATATTCAAATTTTGTGGCATGAAAGTTTTAAGCTTGCTTTTTAGTCCTATTGTATTGCAGTTAAATTAGTTGTTATTTCAATATTATAACCTCAGTACTTTGGCAGTAATTTAATTAAAATGATTATCATTAAAAACATTTTCAGAGCAGTCAATGTTTTTGCATATTCATCACAATATTTTCACTAAGTTTCATATGAATTTGAAAAAAACCCAAATAAATTAAAATAAAAAAATTTAACAGAACATAAAACATCATTCAATTTTGCTACTTCTACTGGAAAAATTCCCGGACAATCCAGTGAACTGATCTCAGACAATAATTTGGTCCATTATTCAAGCAGTGGGAAGAAAGAAATTGTAGATACTCCTCAGGGTATTGCTCAAGTTAACAACTCACATTTGAATTTTGGTAAGGTATCGATTAAAAATATGAACTTTAACTTAATATAGAGGTCAAATTTTCAAAGTAATGCAAGCTACTTCCACAATATAGGTAAATAAGCGCAAATATCCTCTGATTAACATCAGTTGCCATAATTAGTCTCTCAAACTATCCCGTAATTTGCATACTGATCAAGAGCAGAACAAATTAAATTTAAATTGAAAAATAAAGGTGAAAGTTCATTGTTCTGAAGTAACAATATCACGCAGCAACTCAATTTTTTTCAATTTTTAATTTACCTTGTAAGTTTTAGCAAGAATATAATCTAGTCTCAATATTTTACAAAAAACTTATTTCAAATTTCAAAAGTTGAAATTCTGTTAAAAATTATTAAAAAAATTTTACGATGATTAATATTGGAGATATATGCAAATTTTGTAGTGGAAAAAAAAATGTTCTTGGAATCGGATCCATCGATTGAAATAGCATTTGCTAAAGATTCTGAAAGTTAGTTTATTTTTTATCTAATTGGATAAAACCTTCCAATTCCGAAAAGATAAAAAATGCAACAGAAAACGATTAAATTTTGGTAGCATCAAAAAATTTTTAAAAAATTTATGCTAACTTTTTTTTTGAGAAATTTTTAGATCTAAGATTTGGCAACCTTCCAAATATATGTCTTAAAAATAAAATTTTACAGATAAATATGCAAATTCATCAATTAAAATAAGAGTTATCAAGCTGTAAAGACTATTTTAAACTTCTTTTTTATCAAGATTGTCAAGTTTGAAGATTTTTTTGGGCAAAAAAATAAGCCAGCTTAAATTAGCAAAGGTTACAGCTCAATCAACTACTTGCTCAGAAAAACAACAGTACCAAATTGTTCAGTGCTATACTCCTATGATTCAGTTTGTTTATTTTTAAAAATTTTAATGCAAAAAAAATTAAAAAATATTAATATAAAAATTAATTTCTATTTAATGCTAGCTTTAAAAATAATTTATTGAAAAAAATTTTTTAAAACAAAAAATTTATAAATTTTCTAATTTTTTGTAAGAGTTATCTCATATCGTATGAAAACAAATCACAGTTTATAAAAATAAATAAAAGAAAATTTAATTTTCTATTTTTCACACGTCTAAAAAATGTGTAAACAATTAGTTATAATATTTATAGAACTGTTTAATTCAACATTTGTGCTTTAATGGTTACAAATATTTTTTTCATAAATGGAAAAAAATTTAATAAATTTTATTAATAATAATCTTTATTGTAATTTTTATACTTAAAATTTATGCACTTAAAATTTACAATTCATATAATTATTTGTAAATCTGATTGTAGGCTATGGCTTAAAATACAGTATCGATATCGGCTTAATTATACTACTTCATTACCATTTTTTATTTATCAATCGCAAGAGTTAAATGATTTGTGTGTGGCACAAAATACTATTTTCGATAAATGTCTTACAAATGATCATATCAACAACTGCAAAAACAACAATGTATTTTATGCTTTTCAAATTTTTTAAAACTCACTTTAAAACTTATTAAATAAATAAAAACTTTAAAGATATAATAAGATCATAAAAATAAATAAGCACATATATATAAGTATAAAATCAAACTAAGCTTATGTAAATTAATTGATTATTTTAGTTATAATTTTTGTTATCAAAAATATATATTTTTTTAAAAACTTTTTTTTCAAATTAAAAAAACAAAAATTTTATACTTGTAAAAAAATTTTTTAAAAATTAAAAAATTTATAAATTTTTTAATTTTTTGTTGCAAAAAAATTGTCATTAAAAAATTGAAAAATTTGTTTACAGTATTAATCACGAATATAAATTAAGGAAAATTTGATGCTTTATTTTTAATGCATTTAAAAATGTGTAAACAATCAGTAGTAATATTATTATATTAGTTCTATAAATACTAATTAATTTAATATTTGTGTTTTGGTCGTTACAATTATTTTTTTGAAGATGGGAAAAGTTTAATACATTTTATTAATAAAAATTCTTAATGTTTTTTAAAGTATTCATAACTTTTTGAAACAATATCACGCATAAAAATATATATATTGATTCAAATAAGTGTAAAAAAATTTTACGTGAGTTCAATAAGTGTAAAAATGCCATTCAACGTCAATTCTATGATTAAATATTGAAATTTTAAAAGTTTGATTTAAATTTGAAACGTGTTTTGATTGTTTCAAACCTTCTGCAAGCAAACAATTAGTTGATTTTGTATATTATAATTTTTGCAGAAGGATCAGCAAGAATATAAATTATAGTATTTATGAATTATTTTTCTAATTTTTTAGAAAAATAATTCATAACAGGTTACTAAAAATGAATATTCAAAAAATAGAAAATAAATAGTTTATACTTTTTATTCTAAAAAAGTCGTTTTACTGCAATTAAAAAAATAAAATTATAATTCAACGTGAAAAATACTAAAAATTTTTAAAAATTTATAATCAAAGAATGATTTTAGATAATGGAATTCGTTGATAAATATTTTGGATTAATTTGTTATGAAGTAAAAAATGGTAATCTATCTAAAGATTTTAGTTGTCTTCGGAAAGCTGTCATCAAAAAAAAGGTATATTCACTAGATTTTTTTTTCAAGTGAAAATTACGAAAAAAGATAGTAATAATCAATCACGATATTAATAATATATATTAAAGTTATTACTTTTTAATAAACTGCAATTAGTCTTTTGCGTCATCACTCAAATTTTACAAATTTCTTACCTATCAATATCAATTTTATTACATAATAATATATATATATATTTAAAGTACTGAAGTATTTTTTACTTAAAATTTTTTTTTTGCTTTTTTTTACTTCTAAAAAAATTTCAGAAATTTCATTCAATATTTGATTTATATTTTTCTGAAAATAGCTGAATTTTAGGATTGTTTAGAAAAAAGTGTTTATGATTGTAGCAGTACAGCTGAAAAAATTAGCTGCCATAAGTTAATAAAATTTTATTCCTGTCTACGCCAAACTGTAGAAGACACGTGTGGCAGAAACGTGTTAACGCTTTTTACTGATTTAATCGAAAATTTTAAATGTCAGTTAAAATTGGATGAAAAACAACGTTAGCAATTTTTATTCTTGCATTTGTTATTTGCATAAATAAATAAAACAAATTAGAGTATTAATTTCAAATTCATTCATTCTATTTTATCTATAAATAAAGCTAATTTTTATCCACTTAGCAAAAGTAATACGACTTTGAATCTTTTAAACTGATTTTATAAAAGTTGAAAATTCTGAACTCAGCTTTTAAACTATGCCTTGTTATGACTGTTATGATTCTTAGCTAGATTTAATCAATTTTGTAACGGAATACATTTCTAGAATATAATGAGATACAGAAATCAGATTCTTAATATTATTATTATGATATTTTAAAACCCGTTTTCAAAACTTATCAGTGATTTATTCTGATTTGAAGATGTTTTATTCCAAATCAAAATCAAAATTGAAAAGTTTTTGTAATATGACAGTATTATTTTTAGCACAAGATCATAAAATATCATCAATAACTGATAAATCACAACAGTTGAAGCCCTCTAAATTTTCTGCGATTACTGAAGTTCAAACAAATTTGAAACCAGCGAAAATTCTCGATGATGAGCAAAATTCTTATAAATTATCAGATAAATGCTCAGTAGAACTTAATATTGAAGTACGAAACTGTATGCAACCGCTAATGCAGAGCTGGATGAAAATCAGAAAATTAAGACCTACTCTAAGACAGGTACAGTTTTTTTACCACATATACTGTATTTAGCTGTTATCATTTACTATATTATTATCAGGTTATTTAATATGAATACTATCCAGCTGATTATGAATTAATTTTGCTGCAAAATATCTTATACGTAACCAAATATACGTACTTTACATTCTGTATTATGACTGTAGCATAACTTATTAATTATCTCTGGAAGAAATTATCATTACCTTTAATAAACAGTCAGTAAGTACAGAATAGTTTAATTAATCAAGTACTACATATTATTTTATGCACATTCTGATTTTTAGATAAAAAGTAAA